GTTTCATCTGTGATTTTGTCATAAACCTTTGTTTTCTGATAGAATGAAAGATGAAATATTCAGGCTAAAAATTTAGATTTTATCACTCATTTTCCATCAATAAGTCCACAAAAAAAGGTAGTAAATATTACTGCTGAAATCATGAATGAAAATACACTTTAATTTTCAATGGAATATTTTCTGATTCCTCTGGAAATGCCTAAACTTTATGTAACTTTTCAATGATGAAATTTGAGCAAATATTGCTAACAAAAATGCAAATTTTTTTGGTGATTTTGTTAGTATTTCATAATTTTTTTTTGTGTTGTTTAGTTTTTATAATCCCAAATGTATTTTTTATTAACACTAAACTCACAACCACAATAAAATTAAAAATATTATAAACAAAATTCCATACATAAACAATAATTATATTAAACAAAATTCCATACATAAAATTTTTGTAAACAATATATTACAATTTTTAAAAAGGTGGAGGGGGTAAAAAAGATCTTGATCTATAAGCTCCAGGAGAGGGAGGAAAATGTAAAGCTATATATACAAATAATCTATTACAAATAAATAACTTAAAATAATCTATTACAAATAAATAACTTCAATGGTGAGAAAAAAACATACTTACATTGTGTCGTTGGCTTTAAGTTTTCTTGATACAGTGTCTCTAGAAGAAGGGATTCTAGCTTTGCTGAATGCATTGGATGAGCTTTAGTGGAGGCGGTAATGTTTTTGCAAATGGTGTTGGGATTTGGGCTGAAGTCGAGGTTTGATGAGGAGTTCTTGAGAAAGCTTGTGGCAGAGAATGCATCAAGGAGGGATATAGCGAAGCTTGCAGCTGCTATTGATTTTGGAGAGAAAATGGGAGGTAAGTAGGATGTTAATTTGATCAGTGGGTTATTTGTTCTTCAGTGGTACTTGCTGTTCTGTGTGGTCAGTTCATATGAATGTCAGTGACATTTGTTGCAAGGTTTTTCTGTTCAACTCGCTACTATTTTGTACTTTTGGGCGTTGCCTTTTGTTCTATACCTTTTTTGTTTGTGAGATTCATTGTTGTAAATGAGATCATTGCATAATTAGTTGGCATCAAAGGACATAATAATCTCTCTCTTTGTGTGATTAGTAGACATGATACTATGAATCTGAAAGGGCACAGCTTTAGTATCTCCAAATACTATGTAAATTATGCCAAAAACGCTTTATTCTGTTTCTAAAGAGCTCGAGGCTAATGCTCTAAGAGTTGAAGTGCCTATGTTCAAAATCGTTTTAAAATGACCTGTATTATTGCATTTTTGTTCCACTAGAAATTTTTTCTGATGTTTTTGACATTTACAAATAATGCAAGGTCCTATCCTGGTACTACTACATCTGCTTGGTGTGGCCTTGTTAAGTTAATTGGGTATTTGCATAATGTTTCCAGGCTGATGCTTTTGAAAGCCAGCGTGGACAATCTTATTGCATTGATTTCACCTGGAAAGTGATAATTTATTTAAATAAAACAGACTTTACCAAGGTGATGGAAACAATGCTATACTGCCCTGACAAATAAATGCATAAATGACATGCGAGAGTTGAACTGGTTTTGCTTACATCATTGTGCGTAGAAATGCTTATTTCCTTTTCTGAAGAATGTTCTTTGTACGCTTAATTGAACTAGACTCTCTAAGTGTTCAATGGTTCTCATCAACCATTTGTGAAAGAAAGAAAGAAAAAAGTCTGTTAATTTTATTGGTTTCCCATTCCAACAGGGGCTGGTTCCCCTTTAAATTGTGCATGCAACTTTGTTAGCAAACCTCTTATTTTGTTTGGCAGAGTTTATCTGTGTTGTGACTTCAGATAATAACAATGACTGATTTGGTCAATCTTTCAAAAAGTTTTCTGTATTCCTGGGAGTAATAATCCTAATCATCATTTAAGGTTAGTTGACAGAATATCTTTCTTGCTTATATCTTAGTTCATATGAACCAAACCTGCCTCATTCCTCCCCTTATGAGATGTAGTTAAGTAGTGTATGAGCCTTAGTACTGGTTTCAAGATATGACTTATCACTTTGTATATGTCTGTACTGAGTTTAGCTGAGAGTTCAAACAAGTGTTTATGGTGATCAACTTTTTTCAATCATAATTTGTTTTGAACATCACCTTATTCTCGTCTGTCACATCTGATTTTGATATATTGTTCTATAATCACTTTTTCAGTAATCTTTTTCAATCATAATTTGTTTTGCAGATATAATTGATGAATTGGTGAAGAATGGGAAAGAGATAGAGGCTGTATATTTTGCTTCTGAATCTGGTTTGACGAAAAGATTTTCTCCTGTATCTCTACTCAAGTCATATCTTAAGAATTTCAAGAAGATCACAACTACTGTCTTGAAGAATAGCAATTATAATGCAGCTGCAACGGTGTGTCTAATCTCTATCTATATCGTGTAATTCTAATGACATGAAATATTTGAGTCTGCAAGATTCTTAGTAATTTTTTTGCAGGATGAGTCAAGTACCTTGGAGTTGAATTCTATTAAAGCAATCATCAAATGTGTGGAAGATCATAATCTTGAATCAGAATTTTCCCTTGACAGCTTGGGAAAACGGGCTTCTCTGCTTGAAAAAACCAAAGCAGAGAGGAAGAGGGGTACGTCAGCTGCCACTGCTACCAAGTCTCGAAACAAGCGAGGCTATGGTTCAAGTGGTGCCCGGGACAGTGGACCTACTCCTTATCGTAAGGCCAAAGCTGCCAAATTTTCAAACAATTATTCCTCTTTCAGCCGCAGGAATGCTGCTCCCCCTGCACAGCTTTTTTTTTTTCTCCCCAAATTTTGGTTAATCAAACCAATATCATTTGCTGCTTGCACTTTTTTAGGTGTAGTATCTTCTTATTAGAAGGAAGAAATGAATAACAAGGAACATATTAATTAAAGAATTCATTGATCTATTATCAATTAATAGATTGGCATGCTTAATTTGTTAAAATCATTACAATTTAGTAATCATGCTAAAAATCCAATTTAGTAAAAACATTGGCTATTATTGGTAACATTTTGTTATTTAATTGATAGACGTCATTCTTTTGGCCACAAAAGGTCTGAAAATAACTCACAAACATTGACGCCGATAGAGAATCTATAAAATGGCTAATCATCATCTAATTCTCTATATAAACGAAGAACTATACAAATGGATAGAACAATAATGTTCCCTTATAGTTCATAATATTGCCACCTTTCTAAATGTCATTATCTCTATCAGCACAACCTCATAGTCAAAATTTTTGGGCCTAATGACAAGATTAGATGGTAATTAAAAATTTGACTAAACTCTAATTAGATAATAGTGCCTCATAAAGATATATTCTTTTATCACAAGTTAAATCTATTTAATGCTAATTTGAGGATTATCTTGCTGGAAATAAAAAACACAACTAACATAACTTACCAGATTGTAATGTTAGGAAGTTTTCAGCCACATCCTAATTATCACATGTCCACACAACTTACACAATAATAATATTAACATAATTTAGGTAAAATCTTCCAAGAGATGAGTTAATGTTCAATTTTACGACAAAATATTCTATTTTATTAGTTTAGAGCAATTAAGATTTTTAGGACTAAAATTGGATCTTTGAAAACTTATGAACACCTTTAATTGTATCCTTCTGAGGATTAGTTTCTAATTTTAGTTGTTATTATTTTTTATTTTAACTTGGTCCTTCTATATTTTTTAAAAAAATTAACTTGATAGTTTCTATTCTTAGATATAAGGGTCCTACAATATTAAGGAAAAGGTGATGCCTAATTTATCAAAATATGTTTAAATGAAGTTGATTTAAAGCAATTAGAGTTAAGGGACCAAATTTGATTATGAAAAAAAATGGAGGACTAAAATTAATGGGAACAATTAAAAAACACAGCAGCTTTGGTGGTGCATGCAACCTTTTTTAGCGGCCAACCTACCATTCAATGGTGGCGATCGATGCATTTTAGAATTCTTTCCCTGCAGGGGTAGCACATCTATTCTCATTCATGGTGGTGTGTTATTGGTGTTATTTTTTTTTCCCATATTTTCTCTCTCTTTTCTTTGAAATTCATGCTAGGCATTTTAAATTTCAAGATGTTCCTTTTTTTATTACTAAGTTTTTGTTCTAGATCTTTTTCTAAAATGTAAAATTGTTTTTAATTTTATCATTCAATAAAAAATAGCAACCTGTTCTTTTATTTTATTTTTCAAATTTGGTTCACATTTTTTTAATTTCTATTTTTATTTTTTGATCCTATAGTGAAATTAAATTTTCCTTTCAATTTCATCCTCTAATTTATTTTTATTTTTCATTTTATTCTTATTCTTTTGGTTGCTTTTTTTAGAGCCTTTTGTAAAATTAAATTTTTTTAATTTAATTTTTTTGCATAAAGTTAGTAAGGAATTGGACTCCATGTTTTTTCTTGATGGGATGATCATGGTTTCATGAACCAAGTCATATATTTTAAGAATTAACTTGGGTTAACATTGTTCTTTTATTTATTGAGTTTTTATCTACACAATTTTTATTTTTTATTTTCATCCTTTAATTTTCTTTCTTTTTCAAAAAATTAGGTTTTATGAATTTTTTAATTTTTTTTCAATTCAGTTATTTTGATTTCATTACTAGAACCATGGGGTTGATGTGGTTGCTCATGCATCTCAACATTCTTTTCTTACAGGGGTGGTATATGTATTCTCATTTTTTGTGGTGTGTCAATAGTATTATTTTCTTTATTATTTTCTTATTTCCACTCTTTTATCCTTAAAATTCATGCTAGCCATTTTAAATTTCATACTTATCCTCTTATTTTATTGTTATTTCAAATTTGATCATTTTTCTTTTAATTACAAAGTTTTTATTCTAGGTCCTTTTTAAAATTTAAAAATTATTTTTAATTTTATCATTCAATAAAAATTGCAAGATGTCCTTTTATTTTATTTTTCAATTTGGTCCATATTATTTTTAATTCCTCTTTTTAATTTTTGATCTTTTAGTAAAATTAAATTGTCCTTTCAATTTCACAATTCAATTCAAAAATGTCAAATCTCCTTTATTTTTATTTTTATTTTACTTTTGTCATCATTCTTGTGGTTGCTATTTTTTTATTATTTTACAACCTTTTATAAAATAATTTTTGTAATTTAATCTTTCGCATGGTGTTGTTTAGGAATTGAATTTCATATTTTTTGTTTATAGGGTAATCATGGTTTCATGAACCAATTAACTTGAGTTAACATTGTTTATTTATTTATTGGGGTTTATTTTTCTTAAAACAATTTTTCTTTTTCTTCTTCATCCTTCAATTTCTTTTTTAAAATTGATCTTCATGATTTTTTTTATTTTCTTTCAATTCAATTTCCTGATTTCATTATCAGGATCACAAGTTTGATGGATTTTTTTGGGTAATTAATTTTTTAATTTAAAATTTTATTAGTTTTATCCTTGAACATTTGGTTTCTTTAGAATTAAATTTTGTGATTTTTTCTAATTTGCTTTCTATTAAGTTATTTCATTCTCATAATCAAGATCACAAGACTTGGTAGGGTTGTTGAGTTTGTTGGTGTTTATTTTTTGTCATTTTTCTAAATTGATTTCCT